AAAAGAATGAAAAGAAGAAAGAAGAATGAAAAGAAGAAGAAGAAAGAATGAAAAGAAGAATGAGAAGAAGAATGAAAAGAAGAATGAAAAGAAGAATGAAAGAATGAAAAAAGAATGAAAAAAGAAGAATGAAAAGAAGAAGAAGAAAGAATGAAAAAAAGAAGAATGAAAAGAAGAAGAAGAAGAATGAAAAAAAGAAGAAAAGAAGAAGAATGAAAAAAGAAGAAAAGAAGAAGAAGAAGAAAAAAAGAAGAAGAAGAATGAAAAAGAAGAATGAGAAGAAGAATGAAAAGAAGAATGAAAAGAAGAAAGAATGAAAAGAAGAAGAAAAGAATGAAAAGAAAAGAAGAAGAATGAAAAGAATGAAAAGAAGAATGAAAAAGAATGAAAAGAAGAAGAAAAAGAATGAAAAGAAGAAGAAGAAGAAGAAAAGAAGAATGAAAAGAAGAAGAAGAATGAAAAGAAGAAGAATTCCAGTACAGCAAAAAGTGTATCTGCAGAGAGCTCCACTATTTCTGACAGTTCTCTGACAGTTCCTTCACATTTACAGCGGTTGAAACATTGTATCTATTTGTTTTTCCGAATAAAAACATCTGTATCCTAAATGGAAACAAATAGATACAATGTTTCAACCGCTGTAAATGTGAAGGAACTGTCAGAGAACTGTCAGAAATAGCGGAGCTCTCTGCAGGGACACTTTTTGCCGGCTGATCGGGAAAAATTTGATTCGTGCATCCGAAGTTTGCTAAAATTCGGATTCGGTGCGAATCGAAGAAGAATGAATGAAAAGAAGAATGAAAAGAAGAAGAATGAAAAGAAGAATAAGAAGAATGAAAAGAAGAAGAAGAAGAATGAAAAGAAGAATGAGAAGAAGAATGAAAAGTAGAATAAAAAAAAGAATGAGAAGAATGAAAAGAAGAATGAAAAGAAGAAGAAGAAGAATGAAAAGAAGAATGAAAAGAAGAAGAAAAAGAAGAAAAGAAAAAGAAAAGAAAGAAGAATGAAAAGAAGAAGAAGAAGAAGAAAAAAAGAATGAGAAAAGAAGAAAAGAAGAATGAAAAGAAAAGAAGAATGAAAAGAAGAATGAAAAGAAGAATGAAAAGAAGATGAGAAGAATGAAAAGAAAAAAAAGAATGAAGAAGAAGAATGAAAAGAAGAAAAAAAGAATGAAAGAAAGAAGAAGAAGAATGAAAAAAAGAAGAAGAAGAATGAAAAGAAGAATGAGAAGAAGAATGAAAAGAAGAATGAAAAAAGAATGAAGAAGAATGAAAAGAAGAATGAGAAGAAGAATGAAAAGAAGAATGAAATGAAAATGAGAAGAATGAAAAGAATAATGAAAAGAAGAAGAAGAATGAAAAGAAGAATGAAAAGAAGAAGAAAAGAAGAATGAAAAGAAGAATGAAGAAGAAGAAGAAAAGAAGAAGAATGAAAAGAAGAAGAAGAAGAATGAAAAAAGAAAAAGAAGAATGAAAAGAAGAATGAGAAGAAGAATGAAAAGAAGAATGAAAAAAGAATGAGAAGAAGAAGAAGGAGAATGAAAAGAAGAAGAAGAAGAATGAAAAGAAGAATGAAAAGAAGAAAAGAAGAATGAAAAGAAGAAGAAGAAGAATGAAAAGAAGAATGAAAAGAAGAATGAGAAGAAGAATGAAGAAGAAGAAGAATGAAAAGAAGAAGAAGAAGAATGAAAAGAAGAATGAAAATAATAAGAGAAGAAGAATGAAAAGAAGAATGAAAAGAAGAAGAAGAATGAAAAGAAGAAGAAGAATGAAAAGAAGAAGAATGAAAAGGAGAAGAATGAAAATAATAAGAGGAAGAAGAATGAAAAGAAGAAGAAGAATGAAAAGAAGAAGAATTCCAGTACAGCAAAAAGTGTATCTGCAGAGAGCTCCGCTATTTCTGACAGTTCTCTGACAGTTCCTTCACATTTACAGCGGTTGAAACATTGTATCTATTTGTTTCCGAATAAAAACATCTGTATCCTAAATGGAAACAAATAGATACAATGTTTCAACCGCTGTAAATGTGAAGGAACTGTCAGAGAACTGTCAGAAATAGCGGAGCTCTCTGCAGGGACACTTTTTGCCGGCTGATCGGGAAAAATTTGATTCGTGCATCCGAAGTTTGCTAAAATTCGGATTCGGTGCGAATCAAATTTTTCCTAATATTCAAAACGAATTCCACTTCGCCAAGTTCGATTCGCTCATCTCTAATTACTATTATATGTATATGTCATTTTTATTTATGCTATACTTTATTTATTGAAATATATGCTGACAAGCCATGTGATGGCAGTTTCCACCCCTGGGTTTGCTGGAGACAGCCCACCACCAGCAGTAGTCAGCCTATATAAGAGAAGTGTGCACTCTTGGAGTGTTGGCTCTGAGGAAGAAACTGAGCCCTCGAAACGCGTCAGCAAGCTGGTCATCCAGGGTTCCATCGTTGTGGACTCAGATGCTATATGGATTGAACACGTTTGTTCATCGTGATGTGCCTGTGTTTTGTCCATTATGAGTATGATACCTACTTTTTTATTCTTTCAATAAATATTTTAAATGATAATGTACTAGGCCGGTGCACCCTCTTTTTGTTTTTCTTTTGCAATTAGTGACTTTGGACTACCCCGGTACATTGAGGGCAGCAAGCAATGCATATTCCAGAACATTTACATTATCATCCTAGCTGAGTCAATCCCCAGCGCAGGAGCAAAGTATTTGCTGTGTTTGGACTCTGGTTTGTGACTTGACCTTGCTTTGGTACATCTGATGCTGTCCTTGGCCTGGATCTGACTCCCGGTTTCTGACTTTGCACTCCTGCTGCCCAGTTGTTGCAGACCTCGGCCTATCTGACTATGCACCCGAGATCCAGTATCTTCCTACTACCCGTTGACCTGCTTCAGCTCTGCATCTGCTTCCAAGATACTCAGAACGGGATCTCCTACAGGCACCCATGCCAGTCGGTGCCCTGTTATACCCTGCCATCATCTTCAGGGGAAACAGGACAAGAGGTGTAAGGGCAGCCCTCTCGTCAGCTCGGCCTTTACCAGGTATGTGACACCAGGGCTTTTTTTGGGCGGGAACATCCTCCAGCACTGATTATATGTAATGGCAAGCGGTGCTGGGGTGTGCTGCAGTGTCTATTGATGCTGACAGCTGGGCATCTATTGTTGCTGGAGGAGATCTATTTTTGCTTGGGGCTCTATTGTTGCTGGTGGGGGATCAATTTGTCTTATGTTTCTGGGGAGTCATTTGTTGCTGGGGGGGAGGTGTCTATTATTTCTGGCTGCTGGAGGGTCTATTGATGCTGGCTGCTGGGAGATCTATTTTACTGCTGTTTTTGTTATTATTAACAAATTCTAAACAAATTACTTAGCACCATAAAGTTATACTTGGTTCTGTATTTTCTAAAAGGGGCAGTACTGGAGGTGAGTAGAGGGTGGAACCATGGGACAGTGCTCAAAGGGGGGTCGAAGGTGGGGACAAAGATGACTCAAAAGGGGGAGTTCCTGCACCTATTCTCTAAGCCAGCGTTTTTCAACCACTGTGCCGCGGCACACTAGTGTGCCGTGAGATATTGTCTGGTGTGCCGTGGGAAAAATTTCAATTTCATCCGTAACATGTGGCCTCGGCTCACAAATAGACCAATCATTAGAACAGCAATGGGCAAACTACGGCCCGCGGGCCGTATACGGCCCGGCGGACCTTTTAATCCGGCCCGCGGAGCGTGATACTGTCAGGATGATCTGTCCCCCTCGACGTATCTGCGCATGTGCCGGAGATCGCCGATCGGCTGCTAATGCCTGAAACTGGCACATGCGCAGATACGTCGAGGGGGACAGATCCTAATAGGAGACAGATTTTCATGCTACACCGGAACGGCGAGAGGAACAAGCGGAGCAAAGGTAAGTGAATTGACACAGGGGGGGCTTGGGGACTTAATATGGGGGATGAATTACTATGGGGGATGAATTACTATGGGGGATGAATTACTATATGGGGGATGAATTACTATGGGGGATGAATTACTATGGGGGATGAATTACTATAGGGGGGATGAATTACTATAGGGGGGATGAATTACTATATGGGGGATGAATTACTATATGGGGGATTAATTACTATAGGGGGGATGAATTACTATATGGGGGATGAATTACTATATGGGGGATGAATTACTATAGGGGGGATGAATTACTATATGGGGGGTGAATTACTATGGGGGATGAATACTATGGGGGATGAATTACTATGGGGGATGAATTACTATATGGAGGATGAATTACTATATGGGGGATTAATTACTATGCTTACTATGGGGGAATATTACTATACTTACTATGGATGACACATACACATCATTCATCTACTCTTGGTCCGGCCCCCGGGTCCAATTATAAAATACTTTATTATTTCATAATAAAATAATTATAAAATAATTTCTTTGTGCTTGATTCCTATTCAAGAGAATTACTTTATATATAGTCGATATAGGCACAGAGGTAAATTTTTTTAACATTTTCTAATGGTGGTGTGCCTCGTGATTTTTTTCATGAAAAAAGTGTGCCTTTGCACAAAAAAGGTTGAAAAACACTGCTCTAAGCAAAAAAAGCCCTGCTGGTGACATAGTCTACATACAGCACCCACCTTGGCTCTCTACACCTAGAACCTAGCTTCCAGAGTAGGACAGTGGTTTGCCTAACAATCCTAAAGATCGATTCTGAGATTACCAAGTCAGAGTTGGAGGACGGTCTCTATTGTCCACTGTGCCCTCAGTCTTGGTCTTGTGTGGCTACTATGGTGTCTGATCTTGTTAGTGTGATAGAGTTAGCCAGTCTGCAGGCTTAGGAGGGGACCTGCACAAAACAGTTGCACTAGCGGGGCAGGAAGAGTCAAAGTCCACCACAAGCAGTGTATTTTTTTAGGCTATTTGTGAATTTTCTGATCGCTGAGTATGGGTACAAAACAGCGACAATGATTGGATAGGAGAGAACAGCATTTCTCTACCTGATTCCAGAAGATGTCTGCCATCTCTGCTCGGTTCTGCACGATGCACCAGATGAGAAGATCCCTCACAGGATGGTCCAACTGCTGGTGTTCCCTGTGTTTCATAGCCCCCACTTTCCCATTGCTCTGAGGATACAAAATTCATATCAGACTCATGTTTTTAATCAATGCGAACATATCTTTGCTAATAAATAGAGGTGTGAACCTCCTGCGCTCCTACCTAAATGCAATACAAACATCAGAGAGAAGCTGCTAACATCCAATCATATACCAATGATCAAATAAAGGCGATGAGAAAAAATGATGCAGCGCTACTCACAAACAATAAGTCACATATTATACCAATGTATGCATAAAAAATGAAAACCGTATATAAAGTGACACAATGTGCAAAAGAAAAGATGTGACTAGATCCACATGGGGTCTTTACAAATTTCCCAAACTACATCACCGACCTAATATCCAAGTACCACCCAGCATGCACACTCCGCTCCTCACAAGACCTCCTTCTCTCTAGTTCCCTGGTCTCCTCCTCCCATGCCTGCCTCCAGGACTTCTCCAGGGTGTCACCCATCCTCTGGAACTCCCTGCCCCAACCCATCAGATTATCACCTACTCTCCTCTCCTTTAGGCGCACCCTGAAAACCCATCTCTTCAGGGAAGCCTACCCCACCCCCTGCTAACTTGCCGACCTCCTCCACTCTTCCTACCACTCCATCCCCCACAGCTATCTCCTCCTGTGCCACCATCCCCTCCCTCCTAGATTGTAAGCTCGAAAGAGCAGGGCCCTCGATCCCCTCATGTTTTGCATTGTATTGGTATTGTTATTGTTCTGTCCCCCATTGTAATGTACAGCGCTGAGCAAACTATTGGCGCTTTATAAATATTGTATAATAATAATAATCTGACCGTGATCTGATCCTGATTGGATCCAAAGGTGAATAAGAAGTGAAAAAGGCACAACCACAAAAATGGTAATAACAATGTGTGAACCGATATTTACAACAAGTAAGTAACAAAAGTGAGTTAATCCTAAGCAGGATTTAAAGGTGATGGTGAATAATATTCCAAATAGGGACTTATGGGTGATATGTCCAAGGAATTAGACTCAAATTAAGAACAAACGCATAAACATGCAAGTGAATGATTTCTGCAAGACCGGATGTGCATAAATAATGCAAAAAATTGTAATCTCAAAGTACTGAATGGTGTATCAATATAAAGGTATGTACTTCAAATAAACAAAAAAAAAATGCAATAGTGGAAAATGTCCGTGCCGTCTTATCTGACATAAAGCATGCAACAAAACACATGACAAAAAAAACAACAAAATGTATGTGAAAAATGTCCAAAATGGTGCTATCAACACCACTCAATCCAATAACCAAGATACTCGTGTCCGTGGATAGTGAATGTGAGTAACCACAGAAGGGTATCCGTAGCTAGCTGAATTACCCTCTCACCTCATTGCTTCGACCCGCAGGGGTCATAACACTTTTGGGATCACAAAGTTGAATCCTCCATGTGTATGGTTCCTCTGTCACTGATTATCTCCCCCTGCAACGATCTCCCTCTCTGGGGTGTGCTTATTGGTGGTGATATCCTCTCCAGGTCCAGGTTGAAGCAATGAGGTGATGTCATCTTATGATGACAACGGAGAACATAGCTCAATTTCATCACTCTTTTCTAAATATGTCCATATTTACCTAATCTTCTTTGTATCTGCTGTGAAGCTACCACATTAGATGCTCTTCTGAGACATAGAAGACCTCAACTTGTAATGCAATACTACCAAATCCCAAAAGTTCCATGAATATGCCTCTCTAATTGCCTGGAAGGTTCTATGAATGCCACCCTGTATCTGAGGATATGGGGTTCTGCTCACTTTACAAAGGCCACATTCATTACCTTGATGTTGATCTGTACCATGCTCCTTTGTTTACGCTTGGATTCTCGGTATAGAGGCTCTGTTAGGTCTCCCAGAAGATCCTGTAGGACATGGGAGACGTGGTGAAGTTCTATGGTAGATAAAACAATTTCCTTTGATCCCTCTACTGTGGCTTCCCTCTCAAGTTTGCTGTGAATCAAACTGGATGGTTCTGTATTGTTGTACAAGTAGGTGAGAGTGTCCCTGGTGAGGTACTCCGCCAGACTGACTCCACGCTCCAGGAACAGGCGCACAAATGAAGGTTTGTCTTCAATTAATGACAATGTCAGGCTGGGATACAGATCAGACGGCTAGAAAAAGAAATAAGCAAGAAGCTCTAAATTGAACAGTTAACAAACAAGACAACAAAATTAGAGCAAATCACTACAAATTCTGTTGTGGCATATTAAATATACAACCTAGCCATGTTAAAATACTGTATATGTCCACACCAAGCTGTACAGTGGAATAACATCCCTACAGCATGTCTTCAACTTACAAGCCGACCTCAATGCTCTGTGTAATTGGGCAACTATGTGGCAAATGAGGTTTAATGTTGATAAATGTAAGGTTCTGCACTTGGGGGCTAAGAATATGCATGTCTCATACATACTAGGGGGGTACAACTGGGGGAATCAATGGTGGCGAAGGATCTGGGGGTTCTGATAGATCACAAGCTTAGTAATGGCATGCAATGCCAAGCTGCTGGTTCTAAAGCAAGCAATATCCTCTCTTGTATTAAAGAGGTATAGACTCCAGAGAGAGATATCATCCCCCGGTACAAATCATTAGTAAGACCTCATCTGGAATATGCAGTTCAGTTTTGGGCACCAATTCACAAGGAACTGAATTTATTATTCTCTCTTGATAAGAGGAGATTAAAGGGAGATATGATCGCCATGTATAATACATGAGGGGGGATATGATCTCCATGTATAATACATAAGGGGGGATATGATCTCCAAATATAATACATAAGGGGGGGATATGATCTCCATGTATAATACATAAGGGGGGATATGATCTCCATGTATAATACATAAGGGGGAATATGATCACCATGTATAATACATAAGGGGGATATGATCTCCATATAATACATAAGGGGGATATGATCACCATGTATAATACATAAGGGGGGATATGATCTCCATGTATAATACATAAGGGGGATATGATCTCCATGTATAATACATAAGGGGGGATATGATCACCATGTATAATACATAAGGGGGATATGATCACCATGTATAATACATAAGGGGGATATGATCACCATGTATAATACATAAGGGGGGATATGATCACCATGTATAATACATAAGGGGGAATATGATCACCATGTATAATACATAAGGGGGATATGATCACCATGTATAATACATAAGGGGGATATGATCACCATGTATAATACATAAGGGGGGATATGATCATCATGTATAATACATAAGGGGGGATATGATCTCCATGTATAATACATAAGGGGGGACATGATCTCCATGTATAATACATAAGGGGGGATATGATCACCATGTATAATACATAAGGGGGGTATGATCTCCATGTTTAACACATAAGGGGGGGATATGATCACCATGTATAATACATAAGGGGGGATATGACCACCATGTATAATACGTAAGGGGGGATATGATCCCCATGTATAATACATAAGGGGGGATATGATCATCATGTATAATACATAAGGGGGGATATGATCTCCATGTATAATACGTAAGAGGGATATGATCACCATGTAAGACTTTTGACTTTTTTCAGCTAGACTAACTATGTACCTATGTAACCTTGCGGTCACGTCACAATATAATGCATGGCTGGCAAAAGACTATATATATTTTTTTCATGACAATCAAAATGAGGGAAAGCAGACAATAACTGGTGACAACAAAGAATATGTTTGTCCGACCTTCCAGGTCCAGTCTTCTGTAAAGATCTGAGTCTGAGCAATGTCTGGCCGGTTCCAGGACACAGCGAGTTTCAGCTGATGGTCCCAGTTCTCCTGGCCATTGTTATCAGCATTTTGAGAAGCTGAAAGACAAATATCATCACTATGTTGTTTTCTTGCTTTCCATAAAGACTTTACCTATCAAGTTCCGAATTTATATTTGGACACATTTTTCATTATTAAAAAATTTGGATGTATCTAAATTTCCGAATTACAATAGTAACGAATTTGAACGAATCCGAAATAATGAAACAAAATTTGGGACAAAATTTGAATTTGAATCTAATTCAAAAACAAATTTGAAATATAAACATGAATATCGCTGATTGAATATTGCTGATTTCCTTCAAAGAGTGTGTATTAGTGTTAGAATATCACTGGATAGATTATAAAATAATAAAAGAATACAAAATAAGGGAACAGAATAAAAAAGAATAGAATAAAACAGAATAGAAAAATAGAGTAGCATAAATAGGATAGAATAGAAAAGAACAAAATAACATAGAATATAAAATAAAGGAGTAGAATAGAATAAAATAGAAAATACAAGAACAGAATAGAAAAAATAATAGGGTATAACAGAACATAATAGAATATAAATAAAATAGAAGAGAAAATAGAGGAATCAAATAGCAAATAAAGGAATAGTATAGAAAAGAATAAAGTAAAACAGGGCAGAAGAGAATATAAAATTGTAGAAAAAATAGAATTAAATAGAAAATAAAGGACTAAAACAGAAAAGAATATAATAACAAAAACAATAGAAAATAATAGAATAAAATAGAATATAAAACAAAGAAATAGAACAGAAAAGAACAGACTAAAATAGAATAGAACAGAATAGAATAGAAAAAACAATAGAACAGAATAGATATAATATAACTGTCTTTCAAATTTCGAACAGAATAAATTCGAATTTGAATGACAATTTAATACTTTTCAATTCTGTTGAATTAAGAAACAAATAATTGAAATAAAACGAAACAAATTCCGAAAACGAATTTAACAAATTTGACTGAACAAAATTATTTAAATAACGAAACAAAACATTTTTTTCATCCTGCACGTGTCTATTTCTATGTCCCATTTACATGCAGCCTGGGGAAGAGAATTGACCACTATCTTCTGACCTCCATAGAAAAGGTTTCCAGCCAAATCTACGTATCCCCCTCGGGGTACTTCATCCCAGTTCTTGGGGTTTATCTGCAAACTGGAGTATTTTTGAAGCAACAATCCAATGGTGTAACAAATAGGTGATATGTAAAAACAAACTTGAGGATTATTACATGAATTGGAAGAACGAGGAATGGTCATACATTTGTACAGTAGGTTATACTCATAATATCTGCCCTATCTTCATGGGTGCCTGACAAAAAATGCCACATAATAAGGAGCACTTAGTGAAAACACGACATTTGACATTACTTTAATGACATACAGTCATTAAAGTATATCTTAGGTCACAGTTTTTGTCTATAGATACACTTTAAGGTGCAAGTCCAGTGTCTGCAAAAAGTCTAGTGGAAAGAGGACACTTTCTCCATAATGGAGCCTCCAAGAAATGTTTTGTCTGCTGGTGTCAATCTCTGACCTTTCAACAATGCTTGCAGGATTGCCACATCCATCCCTCGATCTCCAACCTTCTCCTCCCGGAGGATGGTGAGCAGAGACCTCATGCGGACAATATCTTGAATCTGTAGAGAAATTTGAGGAAACGCGTGAATTTTGCAATGGATTTAAGTGTATGTTTTAGCCAAAGACTGCTTCCCTGGTAATCATTCATACCTAATAGAGACACTAAACCAGAATCTTTAGGAAAGTTGCTTTTATATGAATACAGAATGGACTAATACACTCGAGATGGCAATGGTACTGCTCATGGCTGAGCTTTGTAAAAGGTGTTATACAGTATATCTTGATAAGGTAAAAAAAAAAAAAAAAACAATGAGGTATTGTGTGACCATCACTCACTTTCTTGGTCCACATGATGATCTGATCTTCTGTGAAATTGTCATACGACTCCGAGAAAAGATTTTGCAGTTTATTCTTAATGAGGCTGACGGTAATCCTGGAGGAACTAAGATTCGCTACCTGTGCTATAATGTCAGCAACTCGACCAGATCCCTCCACAATGACACAAGGGGTGTTGTTACACATTGAATTGTAGATGGTCTGTATAAGGAAACAATTAGAACATTGGAAAGAAGAATAATAACTACACTCTACAGTGGAAAACAGGATTTGGCTGGCATCTTATAAAAAAACAAAATGTTGTGTTCCAAAATTAAAATACCTTAATAATGTGTACCAAATTAATTCTCAGTGATTTAAATCATCTACTTAATATATAACCAAAAAGTAACTTAATTCACAATTATCATAAATTATTAATGTGATAAATTAATTAAATTAAAAAAATGAATAATAATCAACCGTGCCGTATAATAAATAATTTGGTTGTGATATAACTCAAATAAATATATGTATATATTTAAATTCATGGTGATTTAATTAATTTATGTTCAAATAATTTTTATTGAAAATTTTTTACATTTCTTAACAAAAATAACACTGTATAGAAACAGTCGAGTACAAGGTTCACATTAGCAGGTTAACAACATATGCGATGAAAGAAGAGGTAACAGACCCCCCCTGTTCGGCTGGGAGCCCGATTTTTCGTAACCATGTTTACATGAGAGGTATGCTCGTTGGTTTGTGAACCTTACTGAAGAATATGAAACATAAGGGACTAGGTAGGGAAAGAGAAAGGGGAAAGGGAAAGTGGGAGAGGGAGAGAGGAGGGCACCAATGAGCTACAATTATAGCATCCTATAAGGTTTAGGGTTAGTAATCAGGTAATTGAGCAATTGGGGTGTTTTAACCATCGAGACCAGTGTAGTATGAATTTATGGAAGGAAGAGTTTCGGAGGGCCTTTCTGCGCTCCATCTCATATTGTAAGTTGAGATCAGCAACTAGACGGGATAGTAAGGGAGGCGACGTAGACCGCCATAATTTCGTAATGTTGGTCTTTGCTGCTGCTAGGATGTGTATGATAATAGTGCGTGAGCGTATGGGGAATTTTTCTATCGTTAAATGAAGGAGGGCTAGACCGGGATTTGGGGTTGTTGGTAAATCTATGACTGAAGAGATTATTTGGAACACTTTATTCCAATACGACTTGAGGGATTTGCATGACCAGAGCAAATGGAAGAGCGAGCCAGTTTCGCCACAATGTCTCCAGCAGGTTTGTGATTGTTGTGGATAGTATAAAAATAATTTGGTAGGGGTTAAGTAGCATTGGTGGAGAATTTTCAAATATGATTCCCAGTGGGAGCTACATTTCGAGGCTTTGTATGTGATGGTAAACGTTTGCCATGATTGTGGGGTTGTTGGGAGAAGCAGATTCTTCTCCCAGTTAGTCAGGGATGACGTATGGGTTATAAATTGTGCTTCAGTTAGTAATGTATAGAAGGTAGAAATTCCTTTCTTTGGGTAAACTAGTCTTGTGGAAGAAATGGTGCGCAGTAGCTGGGAGGTCAATTTCAAGCGGCATGTTTGTTTTATGGAGCAAATGGGATATTCGCATAAAAGTGAATTGTTCTGTATCAGGAAGATGGAATTTCTCCTGATGGGTCTGGAAAGAATCTGGTTTATGGGTGTTGTAGAGATCTTGGATATAATGTATGCCAAACGCTTTCCAAGATGTCAGGTTCAAATGGGGGGATAAGAGCTGCAGAGAAGATATTGGGGTAGAGATTCGTAGGTTATACTTGTGGGAATGAGTATATGTCAGGAAATCATGCCAAGCCATCAGAGAGGCCTGGATACATGGGTGTGTGTGTAGAGGTCTAGTCTGCGTTGTACGTGGCGTAAATAGTAGATCTGTCAGGGCACCTGACGGGTACATGGAGGTTTCCATGACAGTCCAAGTTTTGTCTTGGGTAGGGTGCCACCAGTAGAAGAGCTGGTCCAATAAGACCGCTTGGTAATAGGATTTTAAATGTGGGAGACCAGCTCCCCCTCTGGAGGGCGGATGTATCAGGAGGTTTGTGAAGCATCTAGGCTGTTTGGAGTTCCATAGGAATTTATTTAGAATTTTTTGAAGTGTACAGAAGAAGGAGGAGGGTATAGGAACAGGCAGTGTATGGAAGATATATAATATTTTAGGCAATATGCACATTTTGATAGTAGCTATTCTGCCTAACATTGATAAAGTGGTTGTACGTAAGCTCCTAAGCTCCTGTGGAATTGTGTCAAGTAATGGTTTAAAATTAGCTGCGTAGAGTTGGTTGGTTTTAGAAGTTAGTTTAATCCCCAAATAGGGTATATTATGTTTTTCCCATTTCAAAGGGAATCGTTTTGCAAGCAGGTTTTGGGTGGGGAGCAGGGGTGTAAAGGTTTAAAATAGAGGACTTGGGTTCCTTAAGCTTATAATATGAGACATCTGCGTAGGTATGTATGTGTGAGCGTATCGAAGTAAGCGATTTGTAGGGGTTCGTAATCATTAGAATAATGTCATCTGCAAAAAGACTGATTTTGTATTCGTGCTTAAGAAATTTAATTCCCGAGAAATTGGGGTCATTTCTAAGGTTGGATGCCAGGGGTTCGATGAGTAAAGCGAAGATTATGGGGGAAAGAGGGCAGTCTTGTCTAGTACCGTTAGATATTTGGAACCGTTGCGAGAGCGTGCCATTGGTGAGGACTCTAGCAGAGGGTTTGGAGTATAGGGATAGAATTGCTGACAGCATCCAGTCCGTAATTCCGAATTTTTGGAGAGTAAGCGTCATGAATTGCCAGTGAATGCGGTCAAATGCTTTTTCTGCGTCAAGTGATAGGAGGAGTGAGGGTTGGTTGTCTGATTCAAGGTGGTGTAGTAGTGATATAATTCGTCGAATCGCGTCAGAGGCCTGTCAACCTGGTATGAATCCTACTTAGTCAGAGTGGATTAGCGTGGGAAGGTATGGGAGCAGTCGTTGAGCTATTATCTTGGCATAGATTTTTAGGTCTGTGTTTAGCAGTTAAATTGGTCTATAATTCTGAACTAATTGGGGGTCTTTACCTGGTTTCGGGGTAGTAGAGATTATTGATTGTAGCATGTCAGGGGGAAATTCCCCTTTAGAAGCGATGTAGTTATAGATATCAGAGAGGTGTGGTTTGAGATTGGACACAAACGTTTTATAAAATTCATTGTTAAAGCCGTCGTTTCCCGGTGATTTGTTCATGGGGAGTTTGTTTATGGTTTTCTCGATCTCTGTGGGTGAAATCAGCACAGAGAGAGAGGCTAGTTGGGAAGGCGTAAGATGGGGGAGCTCGGTATGACGTAGGAAATTCTCGATCGACGTGTTTGTTGGTTGGGTCGTGTTTGCGTCATCTTTTATATTGTATAGAGATTGGTAGTAGCACGCAAACACGTTAGCTATATCTTGTGGGTTGGACAGTGGAACACTTGAAATTGGGTGTTGAATCGTGGAGATTTTGTTTTTAAGCCGTTTTTGTTTGATGGTTTTGGCAAGGAGAGAGTTTGTTTTGTTGCCAAGTGCATAGAATTGAGATTTTGTTTTTTGGAGGTTCATATCATAAGTGTGTAATAGGATGGTACGTAGTGTATTCCTATCTCGGTTTAAGGCCGCGGTTGTGGTGGGGTTCGGATTTTGTTTGTTAGTGTCTTTGTTCATGCGTATGGAAGTTAGGAGTTGGTCAATTTGCTGGGACATTGTTTTTTGTAACGCGAGAATTTAATTGGATGAGGATACCTCTCATATAAGCTTTATATGTTAACCAAAGTGTGGTAATAGAGATATCCGGGGTGGTGTTAGTTTCAAAAAAAGAGGTGATGGGCATCTAATATAAATTTCTGGTTTTCCGGAAGATTCAAAAGTGTAGAATTGAGTCTCCAAATAGGTGGGGTCGCCGACCGTCGGCTATCGTCCAAGGATATGGTAATCGGTACATGGTCAGACCAGGTTATAGTACCGATGTTGGATGATGAGACGCGTTGTAACGTCCATTTGTCAGTGATGAACATATCAATTCTAGAGTACGAGAGATGTGGAGGTGAAAAGTAGGTGTAGTCTCTTTCCGTACCGTGTTGGCATCTCCAGATGTCGTATAGATCATGGTCGTGTAGGAAGCGGTTGAAGTTAAGGTTGGTGGATTTCCTATTAGAAGAGGAATCTAAGAGTGAATCGCTAAGAACATTAAAGTCTCCGCCAATAATGAGTCTGCCTTGTTTTTATGTTGGGAGATGAGGTTGTAGAGTTTACGGTAGAATCTTATTTGCTTGCTATTTGGGCCGTATATGTTCACCAAAGTGTAAGTGACCTCGTTGATTTGGCATATCAAGATAATGTATCGACCTTGTGGGTCGATTACGGTGGAGGTATGTTGGAAGGAGAGAGCATCGTTAACCGCAATAATAACCCCGTTTTTCTTTTTCATGTTTGTTGCCAAGAATAGTTGAGAGAATCGGTGCAGATAAAGTTTAGGGGTCTTTTCTGTGGCGAAGTGAGATTCCTGTATGAAGAATAGATCTGTTTGAGATTTTCTGATTTCTCTTGATAGCATCGATCTCTTGAAGGGGGAATTGAGGCCTCGGACATTAAGAGATGTGATGGTAATCATTTGTAGGTGGGTTCTCGGAGTAGAGACATACTTGGGAAGTTTTTTGGTGGTAGTCAGGGTCACGAGGTTGAGGTCTTGTGTCAGGGATATATACTTGGTGGTGCCAGGGGGAGGGATGGGTGTAACGGGAAAGAACAACCGTAAAAAAAACACTTGCGTATAATGCAAGTAAACAATGTAGCCAGGATTGCTACTTCAAAAATGGGGGAGTCAAACAGGTTATGACCTCTGGGAGGGTCATACCTATACAAAACTCTAAAAGTGAGAGTCATTGGGTGTAGGCCGATCACCAGAGATAGGAGTGGTCAAAGAGCGCCTCCAGGGGAAAATAGCAAGGAGTGTAAACGCGGCTTGTGCCGCACGGCCCTTCAGGTCGCTTCCATGTTTTGGACGGAACCAGGGTTGTTCTTCTGTGGATCTGCAGGCAAAATACTCCAGGCCTTAAGGAAGTCCAAACCGGCCTCTAGGTTTTTAATAGTATAGATCCTGCCTTGGTGTCATACTATTAATTTTGTGGGGAATCCCCATTGATAGGCCATACTATGATTTCTGAGCGCTTTCGTGATTGGTATCATTTTTTTCCTGTTGGAAAGTGTGGCTTTGGATAAATCGGCGTAGAGACGCAGATTCGCATGTGAGGATGGGAGTGGAGGTGGATTTCTAGCCGCCATCATAATTTTCTCCTTAATATGGTAGAAGTGTATTCAAACGAGCACGTCTCTAGGGACGGATGCTGACAGGAATGAAGGCTTAGGCAGTCGATGTGCTCGATCGATTATGGCCTCTACTTCGGAGAGTATTGGGATTAGAAGCTTGAGGAAGTGATGCAAATACGGCACCAATGCTTCATTAGAAACTGTTTCTGGGATCCCCTAAATTTAATATTATTGCGGCGCGATCGATCCGCCCTGAGGGCCAATTTTAGGTTGAGTTGTTCGATTTCTGACGCATGATCTGCATGAGCATCAATCAAATCATTGTGCGCTTCTATTATGTCTGCTATGTTGGTTTCAATATGGCGGATTCTGCGTTCCTGTCTTTGCACCAGGGTAGTAATTTGGGTTAATGGCGCAGAAATATCATTATGCAAAGTTTGGCGCAGTGATGTTAGCATGTTCTTCATGCAGATTTCCGTCAGTGGTTGGTCAGATGCTGGGAATGCGTCAATACCAGGCAGGGTGGAATGTGATGGCTGAGGCGGAAGATTTAGGGCCTGGCAGGTGTCATCAGGGTCACTGTCTATGCGTGGCCGTGATTTAGCTGGGCTGCAGTCGTGGGTGACAGTGGGGTTGATAACTCACCAGGGTCCCCTGGATAGAGCTGATGCTGCAGCCTGGGATCCACAGGCTGGGACCTGTAGTCCTCCTCCTGGCTTCTGCTGTCTCCCTGCATGTTTGTATGGCGGCCGCCATCTTTGATTCCCGGCACAACGGCAGGGAAGAAATTAGTTAGTTTCCCTGGTTGCCCCGGGCTGCTTTTCCTGCGGGGCATGTCTAGTGGGCTGCGGGCACCTTCCGGGAACTGATTTATGTGCTTTCTTTTCCCTGGGGCCGTAGTATGCCGCGTCTATGCTGGCGGGTGGACGGAGCTGTAGTTATAGCGCGTCCATCCCGAGCCGGCCGCGCATGCGCCCCCATGATTTAATTAATTTAAATATAGACTTATATATTTATTTGAGTTATATCACAACTGAATTATTTATTATATAGCACGATTGACTAATATTATTTTTTTTTATATTAATTAATTTATCGCATTAATAATTTATGATAATTGTGAATTACGGCACTTTTTGATTATATATTAAGTAGAGGATTTAAATCACTGAGAATTAATTTGGTACACATTATTAAGGTATTTTAATTTTGGAGCGCAACAATTTGTTTTTTTATAAGATATGGTATAAAAACACATGGTAATGAGGATGTGATTAATGTCAGCGAACAACAGCATTTATCAATTCACAATTATAGTGGCTCACAAGTATAAATTCACATATAGGATTTGGCTGGTAAATGGCTGTCTCAGATAAAATTTTCTATGGCAATTTTAGATCTGTGCAGTACAAATATCTGTATTGTCTTTTTACATATGCTCCAAAATCATACATACAGACCTCAAGATAAATTCCGGAACCAGTCTGTACTAGAAAAGGTTTATTTACCATCTAGGACACGGGTGTCAAACTGGCTGGACCTCCAGCTGTTGCGAAACTACAAGTCCCATCATGCCTCTGCCTTTGGGAGTCATGCTTGTAACTGTCAATCTTGCAATGCCTCATGGGACTTGTAGTTTGGCAACAGCTGGAGGGCCACCACTTTGACACCCGTGATCTAGGATAAAAAGGTTAGTTTTCTGTCCCTCGCCACCCAAATTCAAGTCGTAACTAGGCTTACAACCAAGTGATTCTTACCAAATGGCGATGAAACACATTGCTACATGCCTTCAGATAGAGTAATAAAATCCAAGGGGGGGTAACAATGAGTAGCTTTATTGACAAGAAATAAGAGTCCTCAGATCCAAGTCTGGAGGACACTGGAAGGTCAACTCCAGCTTTATAAAGATTTATAGGCTTTACAGTTGAAGATGAACTCTGGGACAAGTAGATATTGTTTAACCACAATATCCAAGTGTATTCTTACGTGAATCTTGCTGCTAGTTTTACAAATTAATAAGTGAGCTTGCTAAGACATTTGGTGCTTTTTGCCTACTATATGGCAGCTATAGACCTGATTGGGAATTTATGAACTCACATCCAACGTTCCGGGACCTCCTTCCAGCACCCACACACACTATGGGGATTTTGATGGCTGTTCCTGTGATAAAGAAAGAAAATAACATAAAATTGCATTTCAGCTTATTATGGGATGGATATATATCCTACTTCTATTGTCACAAACAAGCAGTCTGTGAGCACATTGTATTTAAATGTTCACAATTAACCTGTGTTGAGCCATGAACCACTTAATGATTCATTTCAGTGTCTGGTGGATGCTGAAGAGTTATAATATCTACTCCTAAGGTTTTTTTTTGTATTGGGCAGGTAGGGAATGTGTGAAACTGTACTTGGGTTTTTTTTAATCTTTCTGTGTCCTGTTGACCTTCACTTCCTGTCTTGGACACAACAGGTATAGATGTCAACCTTTCTGGATTTGTAAGGACAGTTTAGCATCTTGGACCTCAATCCCAATAATTCTTTGTCCTGGGATCACAGCGCCACCCTCATTTGAAATACTTTGCACACAGGGAGTTGGACAGGCCACTACGGACAGGCCTGAGGCAGACTGTGTGTGAGGTAGTGTGTCCTGGAGACCAAAACTGAAATCTTACTACAGTAAATTATTGAACATCTTTAAAAATATGAGAAAATACCCTTTTATTTGGCACCAAAATTAGTGTACCTATTCAAAGATTCCCCTTCAACCCCTGTTCTGATGACTGCCATAATAATGGCATTTTGTAGCTCTTGGGGGCACTACTTTTGTTATTTCCATGGCTGAGACAGGGGTCAGTACAGTGGACACATCTAATAAGAAGGGCTCCCACTTTTCCTTCTACTTGGAGTTTCCAAGCCCAATAAGGTGGGTAGGAGCACCCTAAACATCAAGGTAGATAGGAACAGGACAAGGAACTATGGGAAGAGATCTAAATCCTGAAGGGCTCATTAGATAAGATGTTGGGGGGAAGGGTGTTACCAGACTCTACCTATAAATAAAATTTAGTATGGGTAGACCATAGTTGCCAACAGTCCCGATTTGCTCGAGACACTCAGGAATTTCTGACAGCTGTCTCCATATAACCTTGTCTGGAGCTGAGTCCTGGAAATCAAGGTCTGTCAGGGACAGCTGTAAACAGCATACATTCATATCATGGGGGCAAAAACAAAGGTCACTCCCCCTACCTCCTACCCCAGCAACTGAGCTGTTTAGGCCAACTGCTCTCAGTACTGGGGACTGGTGCAAGGAGGTCAGGTGGAGGCTTCTGCTTTGCAGATTTGGCAGGACTCGGGGAGGGGGTGTGTCCAGCCTCAGAGGGGTGATCGCGCAAGCCCACCGGTCGTGCAGCAAGTGTGGGAGGCAGAAGGAGGCTGCAGCTCATTGAGAGCAAACCGGAGGTATGTGTTGGGGTCTCTCTGTATGATCTCGATCTCTGGGAGGAAGATCATGACTGGGGGACTGTAGCCACCATAGGGATCTTACTGGCCTGCATAGTTGGCAAGAATGTACAGCTAGCAAGGATCTTCTAGCAATATATGGCTGATGATTAACCATTTTATTGCTAGCAGATCCTTGCTGGCTGTACGTTCTTGCAACTATGTAATAGGCTAGTAAAATCCCTATGGTGACTAGAGACATGACTAATAATTAGAGATGAGCGAAGTATTCAAAAATTCGATTCGACTGATTCGGCGAATTCGTGGAAAAATTTCGATTCGAGTCGAATATATTCGCTGTGAATTTAACTTAAAAAAGGGTGTTTCTAGGCTTCAGAGAGACTTAATATTAGTGCTGAACACTGTACCTTTAATTTAAATGCCCTTGGAGTCTGCTGGGGAAGAGAAATAATACTGTCAGGCAGTATGACATGCAGATGAGTGCCGTCGATCTTAGAATCACCGCACACTTCACTCATTTGGCCAGTCACGGGGCCAAAACCAGAGTGTGGAGCCACAGTGTGTGGCGGTGGAGGCAGCAGCAATGGGAGGCCATACAGCACCCTATGACAAAAATGGAAACCACCAGCAGTGTGAGGAGACCTGAAAGTGGCACATGGCAGAGTGTGGCGATAGAGACAGCAGCAATGGGAGGCCGTACAGGGACCCATGACACACTCTGGACCTGGCAGCAGCATGAGGAGGCGGTACAGGGGCCCATGGCAGATTACGGGCCTGGCAGCAGCATGAGGAGTCGGTACGGGGGCCCATGGCAGATTACAGGCCTGGCAGCAGCAATGGGAGGCCGTACAGGGACCCATGACACAATCTGGACCTGGCAGCAGCATGGGGAGGCGGTACAGGGGCCCATGACAGATTACGGGCCTGGCAGCAGCATTTGGAGTCGGTACGGGGGCCCATGACACACTCTGGACCTGGCAGCAGCATGAGGAGGCGGTACAGGGGCGCATGACAGATTACGAGCCTGGCAGCAGCAACTTGGACAGGAGGACGTTCAGTTTCTGCACCGTCTGGTGCGTGCTCGCAAACTGTTGTCTCTTGGAAACGGATTCCAAGAAAGACTGCTGACGGAATCCGTGAAGAGGAGTAGCAGGAGAAGGAGCATCTGAACGAGCGGAATATGCCAACAAGCGACAACAGGGGCCCATTACAGATTACGGGCCTGGCAGCAGCATGAGGAGTCGGTACGGGGCCCT